TTATCTAGTAACTGTATTTACAACTTCCAAGAATTTACTCAGTTGATCGCTGAAAATCGGCATTTGTTCATGGATAATCACAGTGATTGAATATAACTTCCCATTTTATTGTTACAGTATATATCCATATATTATCTATATTTCATTCATTTGACATTCTATACATTAACATTATATATTTTTTTACATTTTATACATCATACTTCATATATTTTATACATTTACGTTTTATATATAATTCATACATTTTACATTTTATATATTCATATTTAGTCATCCCTTAAAATGTATTTTATCTTGTATGTAGATCATATATGTTTTTTTTTCTTCAATATCCCATATCACAATCATTGTCAACTTCGATTATATTCCCAGGACTACAAATTATCTATCTATCTATTTATCTATCTATCTATCTTTAGTTATTTGGGTTAAGGTTTGGACGTGTCTATAAAATGTAAAATTTTCTTGAGGCAAATAAAGATGAAATTAAATTAAATTAGCGATGCCCCGTATTGTCCATTTATTTCACTCTGAATTAGTAAAAGTTCCATACTATATGAGCAGCAGTCTGATTTTTCCTGACCACTCTCAAAGAACCCTGAGAGAAAAGTCCGTATCATTGAAAAAATAAATTTATAATTATTTTACAAGCAGTCATTATGTTTACTCAAGATTAAAAAAACACTTACTTGGTTTAACTACAATCCTGCTCTTGTCGCTTACTTCTCCAAGGGAATTGTTCAGTCGGCACTCATAAATCCCTGAGTCTGTTTGTACTGAATCCACTATGATAACCATCTGATCTTCATGGATGAAAAAATGCCGCTCGGTCGGTATGATAGATTCGCCATCCTTCCACCACGTTATGGTAGGTTTAGGAATCCCCTTAGCCAGGCACTGCAGCACAACGTGCTCACCTGCAGAGAATTCCTTATCCACCATTTTCTTCAGAATGGACGGTTTCTCCTCAATAGTCAGTGAGGCATTCGCAACAATAGTACCAGCAGCGTTGTGGGCTGTGCAACTGTAGATCCCCATGTCAATAGGTTTTGCATTGAGGATGAAAAAAACATCGTCATGGGGCATAACTTGCATCCGCCTTTCTCTGGCAGCAGGAAAATCATTACCGCCTCCTTTGTGCCAAGCAATTTCAGGAGGTGGTTCCCCATTTGCTGCACATTCCCATTTGACCGTTTCTCCTGCAGGCACGGTCACATTCTTAGGGACTTTGGTGAAAGTTGGATATACCAATACTGATATAGCTGACTTCTGAGAATAAGTGGTACCGAAACTATTGGAAACCACACACTGGTACTTCCCAGCGTGGGAGTATTCCACATTTGTGAGATGGAGACAGGAACTTGTCTCAGTCGATTTCCCATCCGGATCCACTCTAGACTCGATAGTTACATTCGGTTCATTCAACTCGATATTGTCTTTTTTCCATAAAAATGTCATCGGGTCAGGAGAGCTTGACATAGCTTTGCAGTCCAAGGATATATTTTCACCTTTCAAAGCCATTATTGCATGGTCAGGCTCTTCTATCAGTCGTGGTTTGGGCAACTCATCTAAAAACAATAGCTGAGGTCTACTCCATGAGCTATTTGTCGAAACTTACCACACGTCAAATTACTAGTTACTTCTAGAAGCGATTCCCCTTGGAGCCATTCGGGGTAGGCACATACTGCCTGTACTTTCAACTGCTTCAAATTTAGCCAGTTCAAAAACCACCTCAAATTACAGTCACACAGTAGACTAGTGGTATTTATCATTAGTTCCTAAAAAAAGTAGATATAATTTAATTTGGACCTGTACATCGGCATGCCTTTATAATGTTATCTGACTATTTGTCTGCCTAGATTATTATTGATATTATTATGGAAATACGGTCATTTAATTGGGCGTACCACAAACTTACAGAGTCAGTTCCCAATGAACTATGGCCTCCAAGGTCTCCAGATATTACACCACCTGACTTTTATTTTTGGAAAATGGTGAAATCAGAATGAATTTTGTACTGGAATAACCACAAGATGTAGAGAAATAAGCTTCTCACAAATTAGACAAGTAGCTACATTGAATTGTAAAAGAACTGAAGTTTAATTAAAAAATATTAGGATTGCGGAAGAACTGGGCGTCAGCTCCCATGCGGTTTTTGACGGTTTAAAACGTATTGGAAGGGTCAGAAAGGCCGAAAAGTCCTAAAAACGGACAAAACTCTTGAAACAACCAATAATTCAAAGTTAAAACGAAATGTCACCGTTACAATGTGGTAAGATGAGAACAGCTGTCACAAAATGGGGTTAGATTAGACTTTACAATGTTTATATTTAATTATAGCAATTTCTTTGCCAAGTCATCTCTGTTACCAACTGATAAAAATTTCAAGTACTCAAATTTTCATTTACCATCACTAGTAAAATAAAGATTTACAGTCTTAATGAAATAAAATTACCTTCAAAAGTGGAATGTGGCTGAATGCATTCTTCTGAATGGAGGTTATGTTATTATTACTCAGATTGAGATATGTCACATTTTTTAGTCCAGCAAATGCCTCAGCATTTATAGATTTGATCCCGTTTCCGGCCAAATGGAATTTCATCAAGTCGTGGAGCCCTTGAAAGACACCTGTAGCATCTTCAATTGTCAACCAAATTTTATTGTAACTCAAATTCCTGAAACATACCACTATAAAATAATTGTCGGTGGCAGATTTGCAAGTATTTACAGAAATTTCAGTTTTGGTAAATGGACGAAGGCATTTTCCCTTATGAATGTTATGCTGTTATTATGCAAAGAGAGTTTTTGTAAATTCTCCAGACCATTGAATGTATCTGCTTCGATAGATTCCAAATTGTTGAAGGAAAGATCTCTGAAAATTAACGATTTTATGTGATAGAGAGATTTTTCCAGTTTATTTGTATAAATTACAAATTAATGGACATTTTCTATACTTACAGGATTAGAAGTTTGTGACAAAATTCCCAAGAGTCTTGATCAATTTTATTGATATAATTGTGACTCACGGATAGCTCCTTCAGCGCCTCTAATCCATACAACCAACTCTTTGAAATTTCCTTTAGTAGGTTGTAGTCCAATATTCTGATCAAGAAAATAAAAAGTATTAAAACTCACAAGAAAGAAGAAATACACAGTTGAAAATAATAAAAAATTATTTGAATTGAAGGGGTTATATTTTTTATGGTAAAGCCAAAACAATTTCATTCAAGTAGGTTTCAGGTGTATTTCTGTGATGAATCAAATCATTGAAATTATTTTACATTCGCTGGGGACTACAATTTATTTTCCTTAATGAAAGCGATAAAAAAATCAAAATCTGTATTAGTGTTACTTCAAAATTGATGTGATGGATTTCATAAACTACACCTTACGATATGATCTCTATAAACTTTATTTGAAAAATATATCACGACATGTTTCGTCGGAATCAATCAGAAAAACAATATGACGGATGTTACATCCAAAATAGTGCAAGTCTCTGAAAAGTATGTACCTATTCGCTGTTGTGAAGAGTGTGTGTTATAAACTGAACTTCAAAACAGAAAAAAAAAATTTAATACCCAGTAAACAAGTCATAAAGATCCTTGAAAAAATGTTTGGTTGAGATTTCTCATCTCTTATCATAAGAAAAGTATATCAAACTATTGAGTAAGAACATACAGGTTTCAATATACAAATACGAAACATTCATCTCTCCCAACTAACCTACACAGTGGGTTCTGGTGAATGCTTCTCGGAAAACAACTACTTAATTATATCCCACAGACATTTATGCAAGATATCTCACAGAGGTTAGTCTCGCAGATCACCTACAGATCGGTTTCAAGATATTACTTCTCATCAGTGCAGAATGCGGCTCAACTGCATGTATAAGAGACAAATTGTTAACTAGTAACAGCTCCATCTCGTGAACAAAGTTCCAAGCAGGAAATGAATATTCCATGTATCTGTACTCTGACAGAAATCAAAATAAGTTTGAAGACTGTATCGAGAAAAGACACATGCATACAAGAAAATAAATATTTTGAAATATTTATTTTCTTATATGTGTATGTATCTCTCCTCAATACAGTTTTCAAACGTATTTTAACTTATTGAGTTCTAAACTTANAATTTATCTTGTCAAATATCAGCTATAACTTTAAAATATGTAAATATAAAAAAACAGATCAGTTTCATTAATAACTGATATATAATGAAAATTGTTTATTTTATTGTATTAATGTAATTCTTAGTTTTTCTGGCAATACATAAAAATGCATGAATTACTGAACTTACAAAATTTTAAGTTTAGTCTGGTATTGCAATGCCTCCACTGGAATGACAGCAATGTGATTTTTATTTAAAATCAGTTCCTTCAACTCAGACAGAGGTTTCCAGTTTATGTCAGTTAGCTTCTTGATGGAATTATTCTGCAAGTCCCTATAAAGACGATAATATCAAATAAGGAAACTAAACAAAACATACAAAGAAACTACTTACAAGTGCGTTGCCCATTTTGGGATATTGGAAGGAATGGTCTCAAACTTGTTGGCAACACAATCAACGTAGGTACCCAAACATCGGCAGTCTTTGGGACAATCTTTTGGTTTCGCCAAACATAAACTTATCAAGAATATTATGTTAAACCAAAAACAAACACCCACCATTTTGAAAAAAACACAATACTACCCATCATAATTTGCTCAAAATTATGACAGAAAGTCAGTATTCGGGGCACTTGTACACTGTCTGCAGATTATTTGTCTTATATCACTAAATTCAATCTGTTAGCAACATTTTCTCCTCTGACGAGAAGAAATATTTGTCAAAACACTCAAAGAAAACATACTCTCCCAATCAACGCATCACTGGACACTAGAATGAAGTTTGGTGTGACAGTTAAGTTTGACGTGATATTAGCAACAAACATGGTACGTTCAACGCTGAATACCGAACGCGATTAACAATCACGGTTAGGACACAGAACACCCTTTAGGGTGTTCTGTGGTTAGGATCTTAGAGTAATGAAAAATAATTACTTTGAGGCCTAATTGAGATTTTAATAACAATAATAATTCCAAAAAAAGTAAAATCACATAATACTTTACCGAAGAGATACTCGGCATGCAACAGGAATTTTTTGACAAACGGTAATATGGGTAGTGAAGGTAAATATGGCAAAATGAAGTTTGATAAAAACCTACCGAGATGATATCGTGATGATTTCTCAATTGCACTAGAATACTATATCCATTAAATTTCACATAATTTGAAACTACTGCCAAAAATAACATTGAATATAGTGATGCTTTTTTGGTTTCCAACCGGAATCGGGAAAATAACCAGAAGTATCAGACTTATGAAACGCCAAAAATAATATTGAGAGTGTTAATAATTTTGTCAAGCCTTTCGAAAAATAATATTCAATTTTTAATTTTTTTACTATTCCTTACCCTCTGGACCTTTGTACTGATCCATAATTCATATTTTATTCCTCTTACTGAGTTGTAGCGAACAACAAAATGTCACTCCATCTAGTGGACGAGGTACTAACCAACTGCATATTCGTAATTTGCCCGATTCCTCTGAATAAGGAAGAAAACTTTCGATCAATCGGGCAAATTACGGATATGCAGTTGGTTAGTACCTCGTCCACTAGATGGAGTAACATTTTGTTGTTCGCTCCAACTTAGGAAGAGAAATGAAATACTCTGAAATAATTTTCAGTGAAGATTCCTGCACTGAGTCTGTCGGATATAATCCAACGCCCTTCGTGGTATTAGCCAGGGGAGTAGTTGTTTTCTGATAGGCGTCAGTTCATTGAACCTACTGTGTTCACTACTCAAGAATCAGCTACTCAAGAATCAGCTAGTTATTGTAATGTGATGCACTGTTTGGAACCTTTGGTGTAGTAATGAATATTACTGGAGTTTTTTCCCAACATCAAATCGTTATTTTTAACACCTCGACACGTGTTTCGATCACCAAGTGATCATCTTCAAAGAGGAAGATTAAAACTGATTAAAACTCTTTGAAGATGATCACTTGGTGATCGAAACACGTGTCGAGGTGTTAAAATAACGGCTTGGTGTTGGAAAAAAAACTCCAGTAGTATTTAAAAAAGCTGCGAACAATTTGCTAGCTGACAGACAATATTTAACAGAACCTTCTGTGTAGGTAGGTTGTAGAGAGAGATGAATATTTTGAGATGTGTTTCTGCAATATTTATTTTCTTGTACCTACGTATAATAGTAGTAGGTATATATTTTCACACTAGAGCAGTTAATAAATGTGTACTATGCTCTCTCATATTCACATATTTCTTATAATATTGTCCTTTGGGGAAATACGACCAATGCTCGCAGAGTTTTCATCAGTCAAAAAAGACTAATTCGTCTAATCTTTGGCTTAGATTTCCGAATGTCTTGTAGAAATCATTTTAAAAAGTTTAAATTACTGACGGTACCATCGATCTACATTTATAAAACTGTAACATATGTTAAACTCAACATCAAGAGCTTCTCAAAAAATTCTGACTCTCATGACCATGCTACGAGGCATGGTGACTTATTTAGAAGTATAAAGCACCGTACATCACTTTACGAAAGCAGTCCTAAATATAATGGAATACGATTTTTCAATCATCTCCCAAGTGATATCAAAAACGAAAAAAATATTAGTAAATTCAAAACAAGATTGAAAAAATATTTAGTGGAGTCCTGCTTTTATGACATTAGTGAATATTTTGCTAATTCATAGTTTTTTTGATTTGTTTTTTGCTTGTTTGTATGGACGATATGTTTAAAGTAATATAGTTATGTGTACCTATGTCTGTGTATATACATCTTATAACTTGTCCTTTATCATGTGTATGATCTCAAAGGATGAATAAAGATTATTATTATTATTGTCTCTCCTCGATACAGTCTTCACAAACTCATTTTATTTCATCTTGTGTTTACATTTTTTGTATTTGACTTCGTCAACAAGAAGAAAATTGTCAGACCAACACTTTTCAAATTCTTTTCTTTCTTAGTTTCGAGATTTTACTTAGGCTACATTGAATAAATATTGAGAATGTAGTTCATTCAGTAAGATCCAAAACAATAAAAATAATTCAACTGTCAATATTATGAAGAGAGCAAATAACCACCAACAACGACATGCGTTTCTGGTACGCCACTGGCGAGTTTTATTCAAATCCGGAATTTCTATTGACCATTATTTAAAAATAAACGGAACTGAAACGAAATCTCATTCCTAGATATCTATTATTGATTCATTTATTATATACTTACCACGTATTATGCATATCGCACATACTTACCTACATTGGTACATCGTTTGAATTGACGATCGATTGTAAAACCGAAGAATTCAGGATAGCTAGAGGTGTGCCCGTGCGTGACATACGTGCTGAATTGCGCCCGATCAAAGAAATTCAACAATCCTGAAGCCGAAGATTACCCCAATTATTTCTATCAAATCGAATCGGGGAAGGCCATCGCAGAGCAATCGGTAGCCATGGAGACCGTACAAAACAATCCCGTAATCCCATCGGATTACATTCTTTTTGAGTCCATGCAGGCATTAACGCGTCTTCAGATATGCCCATTTTAATGTAATGAATAAGAAGTAAAGAAAACAGGTGCCTGAACTGAATCGAGAGAAGGGGGCTTAGCTTATTCGAATGATACGACTACCTGTTCCCTCTCTACTAGCTTGCTGCCTCAGTACAGCAACTAGTTGAGTAATGGAGATACACGGGGTTTTTGTCGCGCGTTTTGCTCATTTTCAATGAAAACAAGCTCGAATTTGTGAAAATAATGCTAGTGGACTTGATTTGATATGTGCGACAGTGACTGTGTGCTATCGTGAACCGCGATTCCTCGATTGTGCGTGATTGTGTTGTGAAACAGACGAAGGAGCAGCGAGATGTGTGTTTGGGATAATATTTTTTAAGATATCCAACGTACAAATGTTAATAGGTAAGAACATCCGTTAGCTCTGCATCTCATCCAACAACAATATTACGAGACTATGTGGCTAACGAACGTACTCTTGTGTACATTCGCCTTGATAACAAAATAATTCTCTCGTATCTACCAGATTTATCGCACTATCATTCTACCTATATGTGTAATCTGTGAGTTATTTAATACATAGGTTGGTACTTGATCTCGGTAAACATGAAATGAGGTGTGACAAGATGATGGAATGAAAACAATATACACAAACGAACATACTTGTAATTTAAAAGGTTCAGGGGTAATGAATTCAATGAATCTAAGATTTTCGTGCCAAGATATAACTGATCTAGGTATAATTTCACAATATAGATCACGATTTGTTACAGTTTTGATACTGAAGTGACTAATTTTGTCTCGCAACACTGTTATAGGTACTCGTCTAATTATTGTTTATTAATATGTATTTTTATCCTATTCCATGGATCCCACGCAGTTTAAAATATCATGTCTAGGTCGCGGACAGTTGGGTATAAAAATATCAGAAATATTCATGGGTGCCAAGAATGACAAATCTAAATGAGATTCAATCAAAGTAGTGTCCGCAATAGGTAAACATGGTAAGTTCTGAAATATATTGAATGATCGCTGAAGATCAACCATAAATTTTCTATTTATGTTAATTTATATACTGTGGTATTGCTATTCAATTTCGGAAAAATTAGTTTAGTTTTTGGTGTACCACAAGGTTGAGTCCTTACACCGGCGCTATTTCTGCCTAAGGGCTAATTTATACATCTCAGTCCTTGTCTCTGTCTTAATTCTTGCCTCAAGAAAAAAGTTTAATGCTTATGTTTCCATGAAAGCACTTACACATGTTTCATTTTCTCGTCCTAGTCTTTGTCCTTGAATTGTGACCTTGAAAGTTCCATAATTTCAACTTTTAGGGCTAAGCCAACGTCAACAATGCGCCTATCTTTCTTCTTCAAGTAATCTAATTGAATCGCCCACAACAACAAACACCAGTTGATGGATCCATTTCGTTGTCAGCTGACGGTATTGAAAAAAAAAGTTTTTTATGGTAGTAGAATTTTTTAAATTAATTGCTTACTCCCTTCCTCTGAAAGTTCTCACATTTTTTGTTTAAATATGGTGGAGCGGTAACCCAAACCAAAATTAGTCTAGATGAGCCACATTCGTTTAAATTGTTCGGAAATTGCACAGTTACGTTCCAATTGGAAACTCTGTACTTAGGATTAATATTATTCTGTATAGAAAACCAGTATTGAAGATTCTCAAGACAACGACAAAGACAAAAATAAAGACGAATAGACGAGACAAGGACAAGGATGTAAAATACATCCTTAATACATAACTTGTTACGTCTTGCTCAACAATACACAGCTTTGCAGATGACGTACTGCATACCACCATACTGTCTGGTAATCCAAAACATGGGCATTGGTCGATCATTTTTATCATAAACTTTTTTATTTGTTGTATTCACAAAATCATTCCTGCATAATTTGTTGAAGTCACGAATATTCAAAGATTATATTTCGAGTACATCAAGTTTAATCGGTTTTCGAAATTAAGGGCCTAGTCCTTATCTCAATTTTAGGACCGATTTATACAGCCTAGTTTTTGTTTCTCCCCCTGTTTCACTCTCAATTTTAGTATAAGGAAAAGTTCAAATGTGTATTTTCCATAAAAGCATTTATACAATTTTTTACTTCCTTCTCTCAGTCTTTCAGTTGTGACCTTGATAGTTGTCTTGATTTCGAAACAAATGTAATTTTTATGATAGTTAAGTTTATTATACAAAATACGTTTTTAAAGTCACATTTGTTGACATCGTCAAAAAATAAAATAGAAACAAAGACTGAGACAAGAATATATAAATCGGCCCTCAATCATAGTCCTACTGGGGAACATTCAAGGTCACGATTGAAGGACTATTCAATGACTAAGATAATGAAGTTAAACGTACATAAATGCTTCCATGGAAACATATGAATTGAACTTTTTTAAGACCAAACTTAGGACTAAAATTAAGACAGAGAAACGGAGTAGGATGTCCTAATAAAATCAACACTTGTACACTAAGACATTTGCTTCAAAGCAACATTATGTGTTTGCTCGCCTGTTGATTGATTGATTGTTAATTGGTGTACGGGGGATACTTGTTGAGTTCATTTCCAGAAAAAGGAAACGACAATAAATACTTGTTTTTAGAATCTGTAACTTACTCGTAAACTGAAAATTAGTTTCAGGCAAAAACGAGCGTCTTCAGATAGTGCTTGAGTTCTGTTTTTATTAGATTATCATTATTATATTCAGTGAAAGTAGCAAAATAACAATTATGATTATATTTCAGTTCGGTGTAAACTTGTATTCAATATGCTTCTGAAAGTAAATAGAATACTTAAGTCTTTCATTTCATTTTGAGATGCCAAAAATACTTCCACTGCAATAATTTTTTTATGAACATTTCACTTCATTTTATCATCAATCGTCTGGTCTGCAGCCTCAGTTTTTCATAACCTGTAAATAACATCAGAATAAACTGGACAAATTATTTTGATGCCAAGAATTTGGCAAAATATGTTTAAAAATAACTCAATTTTCACGCTGTTAAATGTTCGCGCCTTGTTTATAAATGAAGACGGAAAATAGAGCGCAATCCAGAAAGACCTTGTTAAAGGAGGGTACCTAAAAACAATGGGTAATCATGAAATTTATGATTATGTATCTTTTTTTATGAGACGGTTGGAAATGAAGCCTGCAAAGTGTTGAACTATACAGGGCACTACGCGATGAATGTCGGTTAGCCTTTTTTTGGGACTCACATATTCTCTGAAATATTTTTTTGTGGACCACTCAATACTCAATACTTTTTTTGGAGAATTTACGGAAAGGAGTGCGCCAAGCATTGGTTGTTAATATATCATGGCTAGCCATGAAAATATGTGTTTCCAGATACGAAATCAGTAAAGAAAAATTGAATTTCACCTACACACATAAATAAAATAATAGATTTGTTATGCACTGTTTGGCACCTTTGGTGCCAAACATTGCATAACCTTTGGTGCCAAACAGCTTCAAGAGGAAGATGTTCCTCTTGAAGCTGATCACTTGGGGATCGAAACATGTATATCAAGTTGACGAGACACTTTTCGAAATTTGCAAAACGAATGATTTCACAATTTGCCGCTATTTATTCGCTAATTAGTTGCGGAAGAAAATATTTTTTCTATATTTGAAATTGATATCATTTGGAACAATTTAGATTGTAAAAATATGACCGAAGATATGTAAACATGGAATAATAGTATTCGTTGCGATCTATAACCCTACATGGTCCTCAGTTTTGTAGTGAAAAATCGTACGAGTACCCTGTATAATATCGCTTCCCATTTTTCCCACTTGGCCCCTCTATCAATACTTCATTACCAAACGCTGTTGTAAAACTATCATTCTTGAAGAACCGTTGTTTTGTTAGAAAAATGATGTAGTGTTATAACTATTAGAGAAAAGGTGTTTTGCATTAAGTTACGCATGAATAAGCCATACACTTGGTGACAATGGCTTGTTTCAGAACAAATTTTAAATTGAAAACAGTTTTGTTTCACTCCGCATATAATGGGTATTGTTCACAGAAAATTAGTTATAAATTTTAATCACAGAAAGAGCACCAACAGAATTCAAAACGTAACAAAAGATGTGACTAAGAACAATGACATTTATTCTAGTGAATTCAATGAAAATTCATGGAATAACGGGTTATTTCTAAGCTGGAAAAACAAAAGGAAACGTATTCCTGGTGAGGATACATTCTCTGGCAGAGATGAAATTAATAAAATATTGTTTTTTTGTGCAATGCAACAACCATTCTATCACTATTCTGTTTCATCATTTTCCAAACAGAGGAGACACACACTGTCTTCCGACAGTGTGTGTCTCGTCAAATCGGGTGTCAGGAATAACATATATCAATTTTGTAGGTGTACAAACTCAATTTTTGAATATATGATTTTTTCAAATTTCCACCCCATTTTCACCCTCTCAGACGTCCTGGAAAACTATAACGTGAAGTTTTTTCAGTCGAATAGATCAACAGGAATAACATATCTCAATTTTGTAAGTGTACAAAGTCGATTTTTCATGTTAAGACATTTTTTGATATTTTCACCCCATGTTCACCCCCTCAGACGGTCAGGAAAACTATGACGTGAAGTTTTTTTCTGTCGAATAGATCATCAGGAATAACATATCTCAATTTTATAGGTGTACAAAGTCGATTTTTCATGTTACGATTTTCTTAAATNTTCTTGGTAATCAAAATAAATACAAACATGAATAAATATACATCTAACAAGACTGCTTGACCTCTATTGGAAGCTTATTATATTCTAGCAAACCTCAATGAAAAGTTGAGTTCATAGATTGTGAATAATGTGTACGAGAAACACATAGATCAGTATTGCTACGTGTTGGATAATCATGAATTTCACTAATGTATATGATGACCTGACTATTTATAGGTCATTCGAGTGCTTTCACAAATGATCTATAGTCAGATCTCAGAGGAATAAGTTCACTCAAATTATTTACAAAGCATTCAAGCAAATACACTTTCATGATAGAAAATTTGTGATTTTTCATATATAGTTGGGGAAAATACTATGATAACCATCATCTTTCTGTTTAAAATTATATTTCATTTTCATTCTGCAACATATATGTTTGTTCACCTCTATAAATGAGAAGGAGTATGAATTTATCTGAAAACCTATTGAATGTTGTCAGGAAAAACAAACTTACAACTTGTCTATTTCCATCAATCCATAGAAAGCACCATCCTTGAGTTCTGATATTTGATTTCTTTTCAATTTTAGAGTGCTCAAATGCTCCAGATACTTAAAATTCAAAGCTTCTATAGTTTTAATTTTATTTCGATTCAACTCTCTGAAAAAATAAAAGAAATGATATATGAAATTAATTTTCTCAGTTAACGCATGAATAACACTGATGTATATATTAAAATAAACAAAGAATTAAATTAACTTCAAATTGCAGAAGCTAAGAGTTTCAACACATAAAAAAAATCAGTAAACTCTACCTTTAAGCTATGAAATTAGGATTCTTATTTGGAAAATTGAATGCCCAGTTGCAGTAATAAGTATGTATTCGTAAACAGGAATAAAAAGTTTTATGGGTAAATATATATTGAGCGTTCCTTTTTGGTTAAAACATTTTATTAAGGACAGAGACAAAATTTTGGCAACGATGAGCAATTTTGTCCCAGTCATAATCACTAGTACTTACGAGGGGTACCACGACATTGACTAAGAAAATAAAGTGTTGGGAATCACACGTTAAAAGGTAAGACCTCGTTAATCCTTAGCTCGCACAAGTTTCGACTTCTGAGGGTTGTCGTTCGTAGGGATGCGACAGCTGGTTAACGGAAAAACATATTTTGAACAGAATTCGTGAATGGTGGATTTTCATCAATTATCGATGATTTCCATCGCATTGCCGAATTTCCGGCGATGTTGAAATGAACTCTTCGATGTTTCCCCAACTCGCATCTAACTGTAAAATTTTTCTCCATCCACTCTTGATACTCGTTACCCCAATTATTTCCTGACAGCTAACTCGAAATTTTAGTTGGAGTAATCAGTGAATAATTTATATCCTCGGACTTGGGAATGGGAAACCGGCAGCTGCCACTGGCAGGTCGTTAGCGCTGATAAAAGATGCATGAGACTCGGGAATTATACCCGTAAGCACGCTTATGCCAGTGGGTCCGCACATCTCTACCAACCCCCCGTCTCGGAGCAGGGTTGGAAATATTGTTGACGACGCCGGCGCTGCTACACCAGCGCTGCCAAGTGTTGAGAGAAATTCACAGATTCCAGACATTTTTGAGATAGTCTACTATCAATTGGATATCAGTGGAGTTTTATCCCGATACCAAACCGTTGTTTTTAACACCTTGACACGTGTTTCAATCACCAACTGATCAGCTTCAAGAGGAAGAGGTTAATAATCTTCCTTTTGTACACCTCCCAACACCAAACCTTTATTTTCAACACCTCGACACGTGTTTCGACCACCGAGTGATCAATTTCAAGAAGAAGAGTTCAATAATCTTCCTCTTGACCACCTCCCAACACCAAACCTTTATTTTTAACACCTTGACACGTGTTTCAATCACCAACTGATCAGCTTCAAGAGGAAGAGGTTAATAATCTTCCTTTTGTACACCAAACCTTTATTTTTAACACCTCGACACGTGATTCGATCACCAAGTGATCAATTTCAAGAGGAAGAGTTCAATAATCTTCCTCTTGAACACCCCCCAACACCAAACTTCTACTTTAACACCTCGACACGTGTTTCGATCACCAAGTGATCAATTTCAAGAGGAAGAGTTCAATAATCTTCCTCTTGACCACCACCCAACACTAAACCTTTATTTTTAACACCTCGACACGTGCTTCGATGACTAAGTGATCATCTTCAAAAGGAAGATCAATCTTCCTCTTCAAGATGGTGATTAAAACACGTGTTGAGGTGTGAAAAATAACGGTTTGGTGTTGGGATCAAACTTCAGTAAACTTGTCTTAATGAAGGATATACTATTGCAAAGACTGTGGCAAGACAAAAATGAAGATGGGCTAATCGCAGTCTACTATGCCCTCGTTTCCTCGGCCATTAGTTACAACATCTTAGTCTATGGGCTATCAACTTCCAGTAACAGAGTTTTTCTGGCACTGTTTGGGCTAGACTTTGTATAGTATTTTCATTTGTGGTATGTTGAACAATTTTTTATATAATTTAAATTTGGTTATCAATGATCTTAATTTTTTGTTAACATATTCAGCGTGTTTATACCATCTGAGATTTGGATCTATGACGAGACCTAAATATTTTATATTCTCTTTCCTTCCAATTTCAATGATGTTTTCGTTGGTGTTAATCCTAGCAATTTGCTGTTAAACCAATGTAATAAGGTTACCAAATCTCTTTCAACTCTAGTTTTCAGGTTGTTCCAGTCACTGCCTCGATATAAAAGTGCTGTGTCGTCTGCAAAGCTGATAATATTCGCTTCCACACCAATATTAAAGAGATCATTTATATAGATATTAAATAGGATCGGTCCATGGACCGTTCCTTGGGGCACTCCATACTCAATAATATGGTCTGAGCTGTATGAGTTATTGANAGATTCTGAAAATAAATATAATATAATCTTTGTGAATAACGCATTAATCAATTCATTAACAAACTGCCAGCAGCAGCAGTTTGAGGATTGCCAGAAGATGACAGTACTACCAACTGTCGAAAGCGCTCGTATATATATACAAATTAACATTTGTAGGTAAAGAAGAGCGAATTAATACCAACGACGGTTTAATCGTGTACATTAGGGAGTACATTAACAAGCACAATTTTTCAGTTTTCTGCATTTTAAACGATTTTTTTTGCTCAAAGTAGTATATTTTTATTTTTTCATCTAAAAGCTGATGTAATTACGAAAAAAATGAGCGGTGTAAAAGTTGTCTAGGCCAAAAAAAAAACCTTTTTGACTAACTTGAAAAAAATGCTTTTTATTTCGAAAAAACGCGAATTTCTCAGAAACTAATTAACTTATCGCAAAAAAAAAATTTGCTACTTATTTGTGATAAAAAATAACACAATTGCTTAAATTTTCATAGTGATACGCCTTTTTTTCGTCAAATGAATAATAAAAAACGAAACATTTGGTTTTTTGCGTTTTACTCGAAAATTTTGACGTTATGTGAAAAAAGTATAGATACAAAAGTTATAGATTTTTTCATTATCTACAACTTTCTTATTTAACTTTTTTCTCTAAAACAATTATTTTGTCCGCCAACCGCGAAAAACCGTTTTTCACCCATTTTCACATCCACCCCTCCGCCCCTGCAAACATTAAGCTGTTGAATTTTTGCCACAACATTACTAACTACCTTCCCATCCCATTTCCGTTGAGTTTACCCTGTAAGGAATTTTTCTGAAAAATCACTATTTTTCAACATAGTACGCCTGGCCTATTATGTTAGGACAGTTGTCATGGTACGACCATAGACACTTGAGGTTAAGGCATAATAATTGAGGCGCGCATAATAATTGTTATGTCATAATAATCACAGTATATTTTTCTATGCTGTGAGAAAGAAAATCGAATCTTTCACAACGTAATGCGATAAGACTGCGAAACATTGCAAATAAATCCACTACAGATATAGAAGAAATCATACGAGGAGGGCACCGTGTTCGGTGTTGCCAGGTCTACTGTTTTTGCAAAAGATCTGTTTTGGGTCTCGAGCTTACTGTTCTGATGTTGTAAAGTTAAAATCTAGTGATGACTCAGTAGTGGAAATCTATTGCTAAGTATGAAAATAACCTGGTAACACTGGCCTTGTTGATATGTAGAAAAAGTATCCTCTGTTTTCTGATAGTGAAGGGCAATAACTGCTCATTAAAAATGCAAAACGATAACAGAGTGCTCAAACAAAATCTTGTGGTTTTGTTATGATTTGCCGCATGTGGCCGGTTTACAATTCTTTATCAGGTCCAACTTGAGGAAATGATTATAGTTGGAAACTTAATAATACATTTTTAAATTCTAAGGCGGTTCGAAATTCGCCGGGTCAGGTAGTATAGGTACTTATAAGTACTCTTAGCCGCTTTCTTGGGTATTGTAATAGATAGATAGATAATATATTTGTCTCTTTAGGTTGTTCTTACAACATGAGATATGTCAAAAAAAAACAACAAGTACAAACACATTAACAATTGTCAATTTCACACAAAAGTTAAAACATATTGGATGGATACATATTAAAAACAGTACATATAATGCATACTACATAGATGAAAATGAATCAGCCACACTTTTGAATAAAATCGTCTAAAGTATAAAATGCTCCTTTGATTAAGAACTTTTTCAGTGTATGTTTTACAGTTTTTATTTTTGTTTCCGATTTCATGCTTCCAGGCAATAAGTTGAATAAATATGCCCCTGCATACAGAGGTGATTTTTTGTGATGTGATCTAAGTATGGGATGTAAGTGAAAGTCATTTTTCTTTCTCGTATCGTATCTGTGGTACTCACTGTTTTTGTTCAGTTTTCCTTTATTTAAAAGGGTGTACGTCAGTAATTTATAAAAATAAATAGATGTGAATTTTAAAATATTGTTATTTGTGAAGGTGTTCCTACACGATTCTCTGTAGTCTAAATCATATATCATTCTGATGAACTTTTTTTGTATTCCAAAGACTCTGGATGTTTCTGTGGACCTTCCCCATACTATGATGTTGCAGCTGATGGTGCTATATACCAGTGCATAATATAAATTAATCAAGTAAGGTCTATGAAAATTTGACTTGAGTGTATAGAAAGCATAATATAGTTTATTTAGTTTTTTGCAAATAGAATCTATTTGGTTGTTAAATGAGAACTTGTAGTCTAGTTCCATACCTAAGTATCGTGCTGACTCTGATGTGTTTAT